GGAGCGCGATCCGTCGATGTCGCCCCGCCGCAACTAGGTGGAAGGCCCATCGACAAATCTAAGTCCAGGTGGCTCCCCATCTGCGAATCCGACATCCCCAACCCCCTCGCCACACCTGGGGTCATACCCGCCATGACCGGATCGTACTGCTCCGTGAGGAACTGCTGCATGAGGCGCCCATCCCCACGCGATACCTCCGCCTGTGCCCCTATCTCCTCCTCCACTGCTCCTGGCATTCCCCCCTCCACTGCATCCGCTCCTCCAGCTGCTCCTGCTGCTGCAACCACAAGCCCATCCAGTGCAGCTGCTCCTCCCGCTGCTCCTCCCGCTGCTCCTCCCGCTGCTCCTCCAGCTGCTCCCGCCTGCCCCTCCACTTCATCTGCTCCCCCTGGCACTGGTGCCTCCTCCACCAACACTGAAGCTGCCATCTCCTCTAGCAATGAAGCCGCTGCTGCTACAGCTATCTGGTCCACCACACCTGCAATCGTCGTGTCCGCCAATCCCCCCTCCACTGCCATCTCCCCCTCCACTGCTGCTGCCGACGGTCCCCCCTTCTCCTGCAAGACCCCCGGAGAAGGTGATCGTAACCTCAACTGTCGGACTGCCCCGCCTCTGTGGAGTAGTCCGTGCTGAGGCAAAGAGGACGCCAACTCCTCCGTGTCCTCTGCTGCTGTGGTCGGCTCATATGGCGCGACGGGCGATGGCAGAAGGTGGCGGCATGGACGACTCCTGCCTCGTCGGAGCGGGGCTCGTCGTCCGCGCTCCTGTGCCGCCTGTCGAAGCGACCTCCCCGAACGGTCCCCACAACTCCTCCTCTCCCCCCATCATCTCCCTCTCTGCCCTCTTAGCGTCCCGTCGTGCAGTATGCACCCTGGTGTCCTCCTCGGGATCCAGGTGCGTCTCGTCGATCTCACGGGGAATGCAGAGCGCGGGGTGGTCCGCTGCCTCGGGTACGGGCTCCTCGTCGGAATCATCCTCCCTGGGGTAAGGACGGAAAATGGAAGCATGTCTACCGAATACGGCCTCAGCCGTGGGTGGTGCGGACACCCCGATGGGATCCCGGGTGATAAGTGCAACTTGACAGGCAATCTCTTCCGGCGTCATCCCCTTGCGCGTGCCCGTGCGCACTGGCTCCAACTCCAGTCCGGCCTGGTAGTCTAGCATGCCCTCGTCCAGCTGCCATGGCAGCACATAACCGCACCCAGCCCGCCGATACTCCGACAACCGCACATTCGCGGTGATCTCAACGAGTTGAACGACCTTCTCAAAGGCCAACTGGTTGCGCTTCTTCGTGTGAATGCCCTCGTGGACTGCCCAGTTCCTCTCCGCTGGAGAGGCGCAAGACCACATGTGCATCACACGAAGAGCGCAGCGCTGCAACTCAGGCGCGCCAGACCCGTACTGAGACCACCAGGACGCGCACTCAATCGTCTCCCTGTCGCCGCTGCAAGCACGCCCACAAGCACGCCCCTCCCCCCCTCCCCAATCCCCAAATGTGCCCTGCTGCATGTGGAAGTCCTCAAACTGCCGACATACAATGATGTACTCCACGCCATCCTCCTTGTAACCCGTCTGCGTCAAAATGTACCTTTTGGCTTGCCTTACAAGCCAAGGAGGGTAATCCCTTACCTCGCCCGAAAAGTACTCAACATGTCGCCTACGGGGGTTCAGTAAGAACCCCGCGCAGTGAGCAGGCTCCAGCATGTGCTGTGTGCGAGCCTGCACACGCCTGATGATGCGGTCAGCGAAAACCCTCCCCAAAGGAGCGCATGCGTCAGTGACACGGCGGACAAGATCCTATGTCCACTCGATCATGAGGGACATGTACTGCCCCCCATGATCCATCCGCCTAAGCAGCTCCATGACGGGCTGCATGATGTGGACTATGGTGGCCATCGTGTGCCACCAAGGCTCCCATCTGATCTGCCGGCGCACCCAACGCGTCATGTCGCACACATCGGCGGACCACAGTACAAAAGCAAACTCCAGCCCGCCATCCCCTCGCATCATCGCCTGCAGAGCGTCCTGCAAGGCCAACAGTCTCTCCAACATAGAATAAACAGACGCGAACCGCGTCTCGCAAGAAAGCACAAACCCCTTGTTGGGGCTGCGCTTCCTAAAGAAATAAAGGGCGGCCTGGTGGGTTTTGAAAAACACCACCAGAACACGAGCGAGTGTAATCGCGTTCACAAACGCGTCGCAACTCGTCCCCATGTCTGACAACAATTTGTTGCAGACATGGACGGAACACGGAAGCCAAGTGATCCTTCTGATTGCAGGAGGGATGCCCGGCGAGGCCAATGCCCTCGCAGCCCCCACGTACGCCGATGCGGAGTCTGTGCATATCGCATTGACCCGCTGCGGGCCGCCGAAACTAAACTCGTGGAAGATGGTCACCCATCTCCGAAGGACGTGCACTGCATCGTCCGGCTCGCCCTCGCGATTGATCGTCGTGTAGACGATGACCCTTCGCGAGCCGGCGGCAAGGAAATTCACGATCGGTCTCCCATCTTGTGATTTCCTCCCGTCGGAGAGGAGGGTGGCAGCAGTGATCCATAATGGCTGCCTCACCTCCTCCAACTCCTCCGCCAGCTCCTCACGATGGGTCTCCACCGCCTGCATACTCGCAAGCGCGCGGGGAACTGCCAGGCTACTCAAGAAGGACCTGCTGGTATGCCTTCCAAGCCTGGTTGCGAAAGGCATTGAAGGGGATCCCGCTGGAATAGAGCCAGCGAAGGAATGTCTTCTTGTGGCGAGCAACCCACTCGCCACCGTAGACGTCAGTGACCTTCTGCTGGCGAAGCCTCTTCCCACCTGGGGCGGCGACCGGATCTGTTCCACCTTCCTTCCTCTTGGAAGAACCCTCCCCTACAGGTCCCTTGGCTGCTCGCCTCAAAAAGTCCTCCATCCTCTCCCCAGTGCCTGGATAAACCTCATGCATGTGCTCGTGTCCCGGGACTCTCTGCTCGCCCGGGACACGCAGCTCGCGATCGACGTCGATCGCGCCCTCCTCCGTGTCTCCACCTCCACCATCTCCCCTGACCCCTTCTAACGCTCCCTCCACGGGCTGCCGCCCCGCCTCTCCTCCCCTCACACCACCCGTGCCAGGCACATCGACTCCGCGCTCCGCCGAGTACCTGGCAACCCTCTCCATTTGATCGCTCTCGAACTTCTGCTGACTCCAACGCGCGATCTCGTACAAAGCCTCATCGCTGACGTCCTTGCAGTAGTTCGTCTGCGTGAAATGCCTCGTCGCCTGGAATTGGCTCCCCTGAAATACTTCGTTGCAAAAAGTGCAACGCAGCATCATGACCCCCTTGTTGTCGACCTTCTGGCCGACAACCAGGTAACGGTACATAGGGGAGCGGCCCTTGAATGTGTCCTGCACATGGTCAGGGGCAGGTTTATGCTGATGCCGCTGTGACCTCCCCATGACGGCCGCCCTCGCCGCCTC